CTTATGTTTCAATTTCAATAGCAAATGTTTTTTTTTGTTTTTATTGTATACTATTTTTTTTTTCATTATACTTACATATACAAAAAAATTAATTCTTTATCTTTGTATTGATCGCATTGCATTCCTTGCGCACATTTCTTTAACAATTTTACAAATAAATAAATTATAAAGGTTATTGTCTGTTCTGTAATACTGTCCATATTCATGCATATTCGCATTGCAGAAATAGTTTGTCTTATATAATAAATAAGTTATAATTTTAATAGTATACATCTAACAATAAAAAAAAAAATAATATCTATGTATCCCAGAAAAGTTGATTGCACTCAAAATATTTTTATTGCTCTAAGATTGATAGAGCATGATTATTGCAATAAAACGTATTTAAATGTTATTTACTTTTATTATATAAAATGTATGTTCTGCACAAATTAGATTTTTTGCAATGTATATTGTTACATATACATTTCTATTACTTTTGATTCACAATCAAGATTATAGCATACAAGATTTAAATTTAAAAATAAATAAAAATATTCACATACAATCATACTTAAATTATGTTGATGACCTTTTCCCATTACCAACTATGTATATAAATATTTGGTATATGTATTCGTTTAGAGGAAGATATACCGAATTCGAGTATGCATTATTGGGGAAAGAGGAAAAAATTTTACGCGCGCCTGTTTTAAAAAAAAAACATTCTTGTTATTCTTTTCAATTATTGTCGTTCTTCTGGGCGATCTTAGAATAACTATTAAATATATTATTTTCAGTGTTAGTGAGCATTGTTATAATTCCAAAAAAAAAAAGAAAAAATAACAAACGAAAGAAAAAAGGAAAACGTCATCGTTTAGAATTTGTTTTTGTTTCACTTCTTCTAGTTATTTCGGTTATTTTGTTGTTGGTGCTGCTGATTCAAATATAAGGTTAATAGCATTTTATATGTGGCATAATATAATAATAACAATTTAGAGAGATAGAAGGAATGCAATTTTATAATATTCTAGAAAGAAAACGTGTAAGGAATAAATAAATTCTTGTGAGAATATTGAGAATGTGAAATTGGTGAACAAATTTTATATTTTCCTATATACCTATATAATTTGTATATACATATATATATGTATATATAAGAGTCTTTTATTCTTAAAGGTTTTTTGTATTAAAACGTTCATACACCTTTTATATTTTTTGATCGTGTATTTTTAATGTTCGCCTTTAGGATTTTAATCGATATTTATGGTCAACTCCTTCTAATTTGAGTTTATTTGTTTTTGTTTTATAAAAAATGTTCAATGCCCTTTTGTTAATATTTTTTTATTGTTTTAAAGAACTATATTAAAAATAACGATTTTAAGGGTTTTTATTTTTTTGTTATAAAAAGGGTTATTGTTTTATTTTGTAATACAAGAGTAGTTGTGAATTTGAGAGGAATTTTGGCGAACATTTGAAATGTTAAAGCGTCTTGCACCAAAGAGATTCTTAATTAATATTTTATAGAAAAGTGCAAAAATTTCTGTGCACTAATTATGTTTGAATTCAATTTTATTTTATATAATTGTAGTAAAAGAAATTAATGGTGTTATTAAGATTAAATTAAATTTTATTACAAATTTTATTTGCAGCAAGAGTGAATTGATCGTCGTTCAAATTATAATTAAGAGTTACTGTTAGCAGTACTGTCATTAAGTACATATTATTTAGTTTGTCGAAAAATTTTGGTTGCAAAAATTTTATATATTTTTAATAATCATTTGAAAAAAGCATGCTCTAAATTTTATCACTCTTAATCCTTATAATCATAGTAATATGTATAAGAAATTTTTAGCTGGGATAATTAATTCAAATTTTTCCCCCAAAGTAACATTTCATGTCATTTTGCCATATAAATTTAAAAAGATCATTAATATTTAATATTTTCCAGTCACAATATTTCATACATGAGTATACAAATTAATATTATTATATTAATAAAAGTTGAATGCACTCATATATTACTTTATACTCTTACTTACTTATATTACTTTCATAAATTTTTATTTTATATAAAAGTAAAAATATTCATATTCAATGCTATTTTTAAAAATCACATTAGAAAACCAAAACAAGAAAAAAAAAATTGCAATATCCATTTTGAAATAGATATACGCTTTATAACACAGCGGTAATCTAATAAAATATTAAACTATCAGATATAGATATGATCAGATATAAGTATATATATATACTCTATACTATATATCATACCTTAAATTGAAAATTATAATGACGACAGAGAAAATGATAGTGCCGTAAAATGTTTTTTTTATTAAAATAATGAATGGCACACTGCACTTTTAAAATATATACATAACATAAAATACCATTATAATAAAAAAAATATTGCTCATATACATGGGTATGTGTGTAGGTAGGCATGTGTTGCATACAGAGTTATATAGGTACTATGTACATACATATATGTGTATAGAGAATTCCAGTTTATTGCCCGAAATGAAGTATAAAAGAAGAAGAAGAAGAAGTGTAGAAGTCATTGCCCACTTTTAAAGTATAGGTACGGTTGTTCTTGTGTATGCAAAAAAAAAAGATAAAAGAAGTTCATGCAAGAAGAAAACTGTAGTGAAAATTTTAGAAATGAAATAAAAATATTAAAATAATAATGATTATAATTATGAGTAGTTTGTGAGTTTAATTGTAATATAATTTATTGCATGTTAAATTCCCAAAATAATCCTTAAAAAATAGAACATATTTATTTGTATTCAATGGAATATTTGATTAATTGTATTCTAGAAGTAGAATTTTACGCGATTCAAAAACTTTAACAAGAGAAGTGGAGAGAGATTTCTAGAAGAATATTTAAGTTTAGAACACAACTATGTGATTCATGATAAAATCAAACAGAACTATCTATGAGAAGCAACTCAACCAAGTAGTGTTGCATTTGTATAACAGTATTCTAAGATCTACGATTGAAAGAAACAAATTTTAATTTTAATTTTCTCATAATCCTTTTAAAAACTTCAAATTTCCGTCTCATATATTTCAAGTTAATTTTCTAGATTAAGTTTTATATTAATTTTTATCAGCGTACTCAAGTAGTTTCGAAGAAAAAAGATTTTTTGTTCTTGCTCCATCTTTCAATCTAAAATAATATTTTTCCACCAGAGAAGGTACAAAACAAAAATAAAATAATTTTCTTAATTTATTCGGTTCTATGTTCTAGAAAAATTTCTTGATTTTTCTTATATTTCAATTATTTTATTGTTTCTCCTTTATTTGAATTTTTTTTTGCCTCATATATCAGAATTCGTGCCTTTTAGACGTGGTTAATAACATTTTTGTATGTATGTGCATATTCCTATTCTAAGAGCAATCCGTTCCAGTTCTATATTCTATGATATCTAAACATATGATATATACAAACAAACATTATAAATAAAAATTTTTTCTTTACTATTAACTTCATTTCAATTACATTGAGTTTTGCATTGTCCAACTCGTAAACGTACGTAAAATTAAAAGAGAATTATTTAAATACGGGTCATCGCACCATGCAATTTAGGACATCAACCTTCGTTTATTTAGGTTATTATAAAAAATATCCTCAACTCTATATATAATAGCTAATGTTCAATGCACTATTTTATTATTAAAATACATTTTATATTTTTGTAAGGTTGCATTTTACCATACATAAAAAAAAAAATAAAATTTATGCTAGTATTGGAAAAATTTTATTTTTCTTGTGTTCGTGCATTGTGCCGTCATGGTGGCAAAATTTTGCGAAGAATATTTGTTATACATACTAAGATACATTTTTATATTAGTATATCATATGCATATGCGGATTTTTTGTACAAACATATACGATGTGTTCGATCATCATTATCATCCTTATTTATCAATCATTATTATTTTTTTTTTTTCATTAACAATTGAAAATATGGCATGTGTTTGTATTGTGCGTTCCAGTTTTTCTCTTTTCTTCTGTTACTTTTATATATTGCGCTGTTTAAAAGGAAATAAAAAATGAAAAGATTGAATACAGTAAAAAAAAAACTGATTAAAAGAAGAGTAAAAAATGTTCTTGAAATTATTTTGGGCTGGTGTGTGTAAGAAGAATTAAGTATAAGAAAATTATACATAAAGAATATTATAGAAAAACGAATTCAGAATTAGTTGAGCTGAACGTATTCGAATAAAGTGAATATAAGGGTTTTCTTATATGCCATTACTATTATACATACATTTTCTAGTACACACACATACATATTTTGGTAACTGAAGTACATTTTACTAAATCCTTTATAATTATTATATTTTACAATTTTTTTACCATTTACTTTTAGAATATCTTAGTTCCAAATGGTTTTTAGCAGTTTTTTTGAGTTATAAAACAATTTATGATATATTTTTACTCTAATTGAGTATACATATAAGGCATGTGTGCAAGAACTTCTGCTTATTTTAGTTAGGAAATTTTCTTACAAAAGTATTTTTGAAAATTGTTGGATCTACAATAAAATTAATTGTTCTAAAATAGTAAAAATTAATATTAATTTTCATTTTATGATTTAGCCTGAACAAATACATAACTCGCACACATAATTGTGTTGAAGAAAAATATTTGTCATTGGATTAATTAAAATAAAAAGTTTCCCAAAAAAATTCTCTGTACAGAATCTGTAATAGAGAGAGAGAAAACCCCAGTTCCTTCCTAAATTTTAAATAAAAAATTCATAAATGCGCAGTCATAATTTTGTTATTTCGTTAAGAAATAATTGTTAGTTTTGACTTGAACGAGTTCTACTTACAAGCCTTCATTTCATTACAATATTTTAAATTAAAAAAATTTTGTTTGTAAAAATTTTTACAATTTATTATTGATTGCCATTTATAGCAATATAAAAATTTCTTTCTTAATCAATTTAAAAATTAATTAAACATTTTAAATTTTTTCTTACTGAATATTTTTTTCTTTTTCTTTTCAGGTGAGTTGAAATTTATAAATTAAAATTCACTATATTTGAGCTTTAAAAATGGTATACATGAACGCCTCTTGAAAATATTATATTTAAAAACGGTAAGTAGAAACAAAAAACAAAATATTCATCCAAAATATATGCAATTTTTTTTTAGATTGAAATATTAAAAATTTACTTTAGCCTGAATATATGCAATACTTTTTTATTAATATTTGAAATGAAATTTCCCAAACTTTTTAACTTATTTTAAAGCTTTTCAGAATTGTAGAAATCCTAAAAGTTCAATAATAAAAGCTATATAGGAAATTTTCAAATCAATTAGTTTGAAACTTGAATAAAATAAAATGAATTTGAGGTTTTGATATTTGCTAAAAAATAGTTTTATGAAATTTCGTATAACACTATCATTATAACGGTTTATCATTGTGAATTATTTTTTTTGAAAAATTATAAAATTTCAAAATTTTCAAGTATTGAAAAAAATTAAATTATGAAAGTTTATAAATGAAGCTTTTGTGTTGTCTAGTTAAATTGACTTTTTGAATTAAAAAAATTGAATTTTAAAATTTTAATAAAAAATTAATTGCGAGTTGCTATAATTTTTATGCTTCAATTATTTTCATGCACAATAATTATAATATACCATCAGTTAAAATTTTAGGTTCGTGGTTATGAGTTTTTAGGTTCGTGTTCATGATAATAAGATAATATGCAATAGCAAATTTTTTAGTAGTAAAATAAATGTTATTTCAAATAAAATCATAGAATTTAAAAAATATGATCTAGGTGGTAGTTGTAAAACATTAGTTACAAAACATGTAGCCAGTTACGAAAACATTTTCTACAAAGGATTTGATACTTATATTTCCGTTTTTGGGAATAATTGCTTTGATATTTTTATATGAGATGATCAATAATTCAACTTGTTTTAAATTAATAACAAAATATTTGAGATAGATTCGGTATAAAACTCCTTAATCTACATAATATTTTGTATGACTCAACAAATTTGAATTTTGTATAACAGATAACTAAATCGTAATTAAACGTGTCACACATAAAATGTTTAAAAGTTTTGAAAGTACACTTTTTTGTTTCTGTAAATGTACCTACATTTTTATCGTTTCGAAAAGTTTTATTTTAAAATTTAGGTCATATTTAGCGCATGCTTTTTTTAAAATAACACCAAGTACGTATAAAAATGATGGCTGCTATGGTGTTAAAAAAGAGATTTTTGCGTAAAAAAACACATTTTCAATAAATTTTTTTTTTTTTTGTTTTTTTTTTTAGAAAAAAAGCTTTCAATTTTTCTAGAATTTATTATACAACATAATTATGGATGTGTGTGTGTGTTTTATGTTTCTATATAATAAAGCACATATGAACATACATACAAACATATTATTTGTATAATTTTATGTTGTTATATTTTATTTTGTTTTTAGTTTTCTTTTTTAAAATCGCGGACGAGGACAAAGGGCAATAAACTTAATCAATGACGATATTATGTTAAATATATTATACATGTATGTATGCAAATAGAAATGTATGTATGTATGTATATGTTCTTATATTAAATATTAAATATTTTGTTACTTTTATAACTTGTTATAGTTAAGTTAATGCATATTGTGATATGTAGTATGTATGTAGGATGATGTAGATTTTATTATTAAAAATAGATTTAATAATATTACATATTATGTATGTATAATTGTAGTATATTATGAATTTACGTAAAAAGTTTCGATTTACTTTTTATATGCGAATATTATGAACACAAAGTTGTTTAACTAAAATTAATTCTAATATCAGTTGTAATTTACATGTGATTTCAAAATTATTTGAATTTTAAGAAATAAAATTAATAGTGTTTAAGTTGTCTAACTATTAAGAGCTATTATCGTAATAGTTGTGTATATAGTTGTGTATTTAGTTTATGGTACCATACAGAAGACAACTTTTGTATATTTGCACAATAGAACTACTTTTTTTTAACTGGCCCTGTTTTAAATTAATAAAACCTAATACTAACTATCGCCTATAAAAAAAAATTATTTTTTTGTGTAATTACTAAAATTTGTTTCTTTATAGCACTACAAGCTATACATAAAATGCTATTATTGCAATTAATGTTATGTAATATTTTATGTTTTTAATCCTGAATGAGTCATAATTACAACTGCTTTCATAGATTTTTTAGTTTCATTCAGAATTTCAGAAATTTTTTTTAATATTGGTTTAATTCAAACGCTAGCTAATTATTTTGCTCATCACTTGAACATAACATATTGGTAGATATTTGGTTTTTAATATAATGTAACTGTAGCAAACCTTTAAGGATTTATGGAGAAATTTCATTTTTAAAAATTTCAATCAAAAAAAAAATATTTTTTCTTTATTGCTTAGTATAAATAACTTGAAAACTAAAAATGTTTTATTATTTAAAATAATTTTAAGAAAATAATCAGAAAAATGAATTAAATAGAGGGTTTTTTTAATTGTTTGTCTAAATGTAGATAGGACCGAAGATCAGAAAGGATCCTATGGGTATAGTGGTGAGAAGGGTAATGGGATTCTTTTGCAAAATATTTTCAAATCATTATCAGCGTTCAATTTTCTTGCAAGCAGAATAATGGGCCGTAAGCTATTTTCACTATTCACATACGTTTTTATTTTTAAAAACGACTTATTATTAGTTTATAGTAAAGTGAATAATTATATATCAGCCGTCAGCAAAGTGCGGTTTATGGGCAGCTTACGGCCCATTATTCTGCTAGCAAATAAAAAAAATATTCTTTTGCGACTATTAAAATTTAAAAACATTTTTTTTTTTTAAAATTTTAAGATCTCAATCATTGATAATATATATAGATGTAAGTACACAAAATTACGTACTCATTTAGTATATGTCAAAATAAAACAATTAATAAAGTCAGTGGAAAATGTCATTTCTTCTTGTTAGTATAGGTAATGTAAGAAACTCGAGTAGCTCATACTCATAGCACATATTTACCCATAACTTATAAAACTTTGCTTACAACAAAATATTATTTAAGAAATTATTTAAGAATTGCTGTATTCAAATGCAAGCGCCAAAATCTTCTTATAATTCGTTCTAACAAGTTTAAAAATGAGGCAAATCTTTAACAAAAATTTCAAAGTTCAAGTCAAATTTCTGAAATTTTCAATATTACTATTAAAACTTCTAATTTCCAAAATTGATCAAAAATTATGAAAAATAGCAAAAAAACTCAATTTTGTTGTTGAAAAAAAAAAAATTTTGGCAAAATCAACAATTTTGCAACTTAAACACTCTTATCTTTAGATAATGTACACATGTGACATATTTAGGAAAAAACTAAAAATTTTCCACTAAATTATAAAAAAAAAAAATTTTTGTTTGCTCATTTTAATTTTTCTTTTTTTTATTTGTTTCTTGTTCTCGTTAATTTTTTCTTCTTAGTTTTTTGTTATAATTTTTAATATCTAATAAATTATCAAACATCAGTTTTTAGTTTTGTTTACGTCTGAACAAAAAAAAACGAAAAACCAGTAATCGAAAAAAACAAATGAGTCATTTTATAAGTCACTTACCACTACCACAACTGCCACACAATAACTGCTCAGAAACACTCTAATATTTATAACAAATTCAATTTAAATAAGTTACAAAATATCGGTACACACATTTACCAAAAAAATACCCACTTAAACACAAAACGAAAAAAAAAACACCAAAACTTTAAATTCGAAATAGCACGCATTGATACACAAATGTACAAACAAATATTTTTTTATTTATAACAAATTTTATAAAAATTTTCAGTTGACTATACAAAAACTAAAAAAATTTTAACACACACGTAGACACCATATAATTTTATTATTATAAAATTCGCACAGCAAATAAAAAAATAAAATTTAAACAAAAAAAAAAAATAATAAATTTTTCCTCGAAATAATAAAATAAATAAGCAAGAAAAAAATAAATAGATTATGAGAAAAGAAAAATCGTAAATTTTTGAGGTTGAAGACCAAAAAAAAAATGCGTTAAAAACAATTAAGGTTCTTAGAATTTTTCATCATTTCTTTGGTTATTTTACCATTTCACTACACTACCAACCCTTCTCTTATACCCAACCATTCTTAAATTTTTCGTTCTGACTTTTTTTTCGCTAAAAACCATTTCGCTGTACTTTACTTCTAATGTGATTATTGTGCGTATATACCAAGTATTTGCAAAATTTTTGATAAACCGATGGTGCTGTTTCAAACTAGGCCTATTTAATATTTTCGACTTTTTCAAAAAAAAAACAGAAAAATGGAATTGTATAATGATTCACAACTCCAATTGTTTTAAAAATCATGTCCGCCATTTTAAATATTAAACAAAACATAGTAATCATGTTAGAGTATGAATCTAATGAAAAACTGGGTTAGGTCGGACCGCCTAGAAATTTTTAAATGTAAAAATTTATCGCCTGTCAGTGGTCTAGAATAAATTGGAATAAATTTTTTGCATTTTTCCTGAAATCGTTTTTTTTAAGTTTTTATCGCAGGGGGCTCACATATACAAGTATAAACTTAAATTATATTTAAATTATTTTATGTTGTTATCTTATATTTTAAATTGTAAGATAAGAAAATTATAACGATCGCGAAAACATAAAGGAATAGGAAAAATAAAAAACAAAAAAGTTTTTTTTTAAATGTTTTTGTCCTAAATTTATTTAGACCAGTGCAAAGCGTATCTATGAATTAATATGAGTGTCCCATGTTACATACATAGCAATTTTTTACTATCAAATTCAATATCCAAAAAGAAAAATAAAGTTAAAAGTAAAATAATTATGAAGTGCACACTGACATAAGGCTTTGTGTAGGTTTCCAAGCCTAATTTGAAATTTTGAAATTTAATTTGAAAATGTTTAGATTTTCGATTTCAATTAGTGTAAATCAAATTTTATTTCATTTATTCTACCTTAATATTTTTTCAGTAAAACTCACTAAATATGTATTTTCAGTATCGTACATTACAAATAAATTTAAAGACTCAGCATATTGCCTATTTATTAAAATAATGTTTGCATACAAAAGTAAGTAGTTCCGAAAACATACAACGTTACAACGCTAAAACTACGCAATGTAGTTAAAAAAATAAAAAATTTTGCTTATAATTTTTTTTAATTGTTTTTGCTAAGTGTAAAAAAAAGTAGAGAAAAATTATTAACGCACAAATTTTTTCTCTTTTCCTCTTCTATACCA